TGTGTGTGGTGTGTGGTGGTGTGTGTGTGTGTGTGTGTGTGTGTGTGTGTGTGTGTGTGTGTGTGTGTGTGTGTGTACAGGTTTGAGATGATGCGGATGTGTTGGCAGTACAACCCTAAGATGCGTCCGGCCTTCGTGGAGATCATCGGCTCTCTGAAGGACGAACTGGATCCCTCCTTCATCGATTCCAGCTTCTTCTACAGCGCCGACAACAAACCGCCCGACGCCCCCTCGCCACCTCACCTGGAAAACGCCGCCACCTTGGAAGTCGTTCCTCTGGAGCCTGCTGCCTCTTCCTCCTCCTCCTCACAGCAGACCCCCCAACAACAGACGCCACCTTCCCCGAAAACAGAGGCTCCTCCTGGGCCTTCGTTAGCTCCAAGTTCCCCTCCTTCCTCCCCTCCTTCCTCCCCTCCTTCCTCTCCACCTTGTACGTCTAGCGCCTCATTGGACAAGCAGGCAATCGGACAGCAGCAGGCGGCCAATGGGCTGTCGGGGGCGGGACTAACGGCGTCATTGGATGAACTTCCTGCGTACGCTCACATGAACGGAGGACGAAAAAACGAGCGAGCGATGCCCCTCCCCCAATCCTCCGCCTGCTGAAAAACCCTCGAAACGTTTCTTTTGTTTTAATACAACGTCCACCAGCTGGAAGGTGGAGTCACTAAAGTTCACTGTACCTCTTTATCCCCCCTTTTTTCATATTTTTGGTTTCTTCCCGCTGGCTGTCACGTGACACTGAGTGGGACAAACCAAATCAAAAAGGGGGGTAACAGAAAGGGAATTTAAAGAGGGGTTGTTTCTCCCTTCTCTCTTTATGGCTGAACTTATTTTATAAATTGTCGTTTGTTACTTTTTTTACATGTATTTTCAAATGACGGAGAACAAAGGCCTTTATCGATGACCGGCGTTTTTGGGCGGGCATTAACGGTGTAACTGTTGCATATCTTAATGAAGAAGCACTCCAGAGAACAAACAAACAACCACAGGGACGAAAAAAAGAAAAGGTCAAATCTGTTGCCAAAATTGTTGCCAAAATTGTACTTTTTGTAAAATTCTTCAGTTTTGCTCTGAAGAAATCTCCAACACACCAGATCAAAAACAAACAAAAACAAGCGCTTTGATTTGGTTCTAGGCGATATTAAAACCAGTGTTCCCAGGGGTAATTCACACGCCTACAGACTATTTGTTTATCAATTACTCACCTGTGTTACCTTGGAGTTCATTCGTTTCTTTGCACACCTCCACGGTGAACGACGAGTAAACAATGTTTGATATTTCTTGATAGATTGTGGTAAAATTCGGCGGCAAAACATCTGTTTCTTACACGACTCATGCACTATTATCTAAGTCTTTATTTTAAACCCTTGTGCGTAAACAGCCGTACGTTAGTGAGCAAAGAAATCATCCATGTGTTTAGTGAGTAAGCAAATGGATATATTGTTACAAAATATATATTTAAATAGTTTCTCCTATCTAGTCAGAAGGAAATTACGACTTATCTCCTGCTTGTTTTGTACAACGCATTATTCTATGTAGACGATACAAAATTATACAGTTTAACATAAATATAGACTATAACTGAGTTTCTACATTTATAAACCGATGTTTGGATGTACTTTGCTGTCGTTAGATACCGCCCCCGTTTACTTCAATTTATCAAGAATTTTCACCAATTTTGATAATTGTTTTTAACCATAAAAGCAAGTTAAGAAAAATGCAATCTAATTCAAAATAACAAAGGGTGATCGATTGATACCCGAATGATCACTTTGTGGGTGAATTGTCCTTAACTTCCCTCTACAGTCCTTCGCTGCTCCTCTACGGCGGTTTGCACCGGAGAGGATGAGGGCCACGTGTTCATTTGCCTTTCTGACCAAAAGGGATTTTTGCTTTAAAGACAGAATTTTTTTAAGAAAACTAAATAACAAATTCAGAAATATCTCAGATTTTTGAGAAAAAAGTTAGGATTTTTTAGGACAATTATTTAATCAAAATATCGGGCAAAAATAAAGTTGAGAAAAAAATTACATTTTGGGTAAAAATTCAACATTTGAGAAAAAAATCTAAGTTTGGGGAAAAAATAAGATTTCGGGAGAAAAAGTCTAAATCTTTGGAAAAAGTCAGATTTCTGAGACATTTTGTTCAACATTTGTGGAAATAAATAAATAAAACACACAGAGAGAGAGAGAGAGACACACACAGAGAGAGAAAACACACACACACAGAGAGAGAGAGAGAGAGACACACACACACACACACACACACACACACACACACAGAGAGAGAGAAACACACACACACAGAGAGAGAGAGAGACACACACACACACACAGAGAGAGAAACACACACACACACACACAGAGAGAGAAACACACACACACAGAGAGAGAAACACACACACACAGAGAGAGAGAGAGAGAGAGACACACACACACACACACAGAGAGAGAAACACACACACACACACACACAGAGAAACACACACACACACACACAGAGAGAGAAACACACACACACAGAGAGAGAGAGAGAGAGACACACTCACACACACACAGAGAGAGAAACACACACACACACACACACACACAGAGAAACACACACACACACAGAGAGAAACACACTCACACACACACACACACACACATTCTGACTTGAATCTCCGAACTAAACCCCCTTTGGTCAGATCTCTCAAACCATGTGCCGAGTCCTCTTCTGTACGTTAGTGATTGACAGCTTCTGCACTCAGCTGCTCGTCATCGACCTTCATCTGGACTCAAACGGTCACTAAGTGCAGTTCGGTTTAAGGTCTCAACAACAAATCAGAAAAGCAGCGAAATAAAATGCATCCTTAAAGCTCGGACAGAGGATGGAAGCTCGTAGAGAAGACATCGGATACGAACTCAAACTAAAACCGTCTCTTGGTCAAAGTTGTGTATAAAAACCAGACTACTATGGAGCATCTGTGCAGGCGCTTTCGTTTCGTGTCACTTTTGTACGTTTTTCTACGGTCGGAGTTCATCCATCCTGTACAGAAAGAAGCTGCTATTTCTCTTGTGGTTGTAATATATCTATATATATAAGAAGAGAAAACACTCCTTCAGGTCAGATCGACGAGCTCTTCACTCTTCATGTGTTTCTGAGCTGGATTTCATTTCTGTGTTTGAGGTACGACAGATCTCTCATCTGACTCTGAGTTCAAAGAGGAACGTTCAATATTTCACCCTCGCCGTTTGTTCGATTTCATTTTCTTTAAAAGTAGAGCATGCAAGAGAACAGTTAAAAAAAGAAAGCAGAAACCAGTTTTGTGTTAACGTATGGAGCCGAAACACTGACAAAATCAAGTTAATAGACTAGTTAGAACTCAATATATCAATACGTTATTTTGTTGTTTACTTAACATGGAGCGTAGAACATCATTGAAATTGAAATACGAGCGAAAAGGAGCCATTTTAGGTAAAACTGCATTTAAAGGAACAAAAGTGGGTAATCTTAGTAAAAATCAGATTAAAGTCATTAATTTACAGGAAAATACTTGATATTTTCTGGAATTAAAGTTGTACATTTATTACAAAAAACAAATTGAAATCAATAAAACGTGGAATGTTCACAGAATAAAGTCACAAAACTTCAAAGAAAAACGTTGTCGTGTTTCGCCACATTATCGTAAGCATCAAGAGCTTGAGGATAAATCGCCATAAATCTGACTTTCTTTGAAGCGAATAACCTTTTTCAACCGTGCAAATTAAAGCCAAGTAGTTCCTTATAGATCATTTCATTGTTATGACTCCTTTCCCCTGATATGCTTTATTTGTTTTCCTAAAATGACCCTAATTACCTAAAATGACCCTAATTCAGCTAAGAACTGATTTGGGGGGAAATCTTACATTTCTTCACTTAACTTGAAGTAGTATTATTGATTGTTGACCACGGTGATATTTTGGACTTGTCTTGTAACTTTGTTCACATCTCTGTCAGTGCCAGGCTTCCATATGTTGACAAACTACAAATGAATGCAGAATATACGGTTTATCACATTTTCAACGAGCCTTGACGTCTTAGTTTTCTGAAGGCAGAAACTAAAACCAGTCTTGGATCATTTCCCGTTCTGCTCATCGATTTGATTTACGGCTGGTTTTCTTCATTATCTCACATTATTGATCTCGTTCTCCACAAACATCTTGGTCGATTGCAGAGGTCGAGAAAATCTGAAACTATCTGACGGCACTCTGAGTTTTATTCAACGCTTTAAGTCAAATAAGATGTCACCTTAAAGGACGTCAACAATGCTCTACGGCTCTACTATCAAAACACTCGTTCCTGAAGCTTCAGACGGTTTACTGAAGACACTCGAAGTCAAACATGAAGACGGGTAGATTAGAGAGGACCACAAAGGCGTGTTGTGTTATTTGTCTTATTATTTCTAAGTGTAAATCACTGTATAAACCCCCACTGATTGTTCGTCCTCCATCTTTGTGTTCTGTTGCTGTTTTCGGGGGAAGGTCTTGTTGTTTTTCAGACATCCATCTACCTCACTTTGTCTTTCCTTTTCTACTCCATCCATCTCCATGAGCAGAGACACATCTCCTCAGCGCTGTTTCTACGCTTCAATCCAGACATAGGTCGTTGCTGGTGGAAATGGTACTTTTATTGTGCAGATAATCAACAACAACAACACGGCTTCCTGTTTGCAAAGAAGACTTGTTTCCCAGATGTGACGTTGTTAAGCATTTCATAAGACATGAAGGAATCCTCACCTAGTTATTAACATGTGCATTTAAGTTGCTCTGCATCCAATTCATGTTAAATAAATACCCTCCGATCCATTTAAAGACCCCACATGTCCAAACTCTCGCTTCTGTTCTGAAGGTGTTTCCCCAATCGTCAAAGACTCTTCGAATGGGTGCAAAACAATGTCTTCTCTCGCACGTGAAAGCGATATTTAAATTGTATTTTTCCTTTTTATTTACACAGAAATCGATGCGAATGCGACATATCTTCTTGCTTGTTTTGTACAACACCTTATCCTATGTTCCAAATATAAAATAACGTAAATATAGCCGAGGATAATCCGGAGACAAACGGGTTTTAAAGGCAAATATTGGATGCTTAGCGAATGTAAAGGCACACAATACGGGGCTAGAAAGTGTAATAATGTTCCGTCTCTAAAAGCAGGAGGCGATTTACTGACGAATATAATGTTTTCTGCTTCAGGCAGGTGTCTATTTATATTTTTTCGACACGTAAAAAAAGCAATTGGAGGAAAAGTTATACACGACTGCAAATGACCAGCTTTTTCTAAATATTTCTAATTTAACAGTTTCATTTCCACGAGTTATTGTTCGTTATTTTCGGGACATTTACACAACAACAATTCACGACATTACCGGTAACATTGAAAGTCATCCCAACGCTAATAGGCTTGAGATTTCACAGCAAAATGTTTGTTTGCCATCATTTACGAGTACATTTAAAGCTGCGTTCTGTATTTATTCCTCGTTGCTGCTCTTCTGCATAAAGGCGCTTATTTAAGTGTTTTGATCAGATCTGTGTCTCACTTTTACCACTGGATCCCCGCTGAGTTGACTTAAAATCCAACATGTTTGTTTCTTTTCCATCTTGTTTTTGTGTCGATGGCCAATGTGTGTCCATATAAGTTATTCACAGCCTTCCAGCTCAGATGTGTTAGATTGGTTTTTGGGTTTTTATTTTTGGTACGTAAACTGTTCTAAGATTATGTTTTTGTTCCTGTTATCAATATATTCTGATGAGTGCGTGCTGCGTGCTGCGTACTGCGTGTTGCGTGCTGCGTGCCGGGAAACACTGATTGGCTGAAGGAAAAAGAGAATGTGTTTTTTCTCTTGTTCTCTTTTTTTTCTACACAAGATTTAAGATGAATAAAAATGTACTGTATGCAAACTGCTCGTCTTTGTTGGGAAGTATGTGTTATTGGTGCGGCATATTCTAAACATATCACAGCTGGTCAATAAGGAGCTATTTCTTTAAAACTTTATATATATATATATATATATGTATATATATATATATATAAATATATATATATATAAACCATTTAGAAGCAGTGTATATATATATATATATATATATCGGTATATATATATATCATAATAATAATAGATTTAATTTGTTAGCGCTTTTACAGGTGCTCAAAGACGCTTTACAGATATAGTGAAGAGAAAATAAAATAAAGGAACAACAAATACATATATAGTTAAAGTTAAAGTCAAATAATACAAAAACAATCATACATTAAAAGCCAGATTGAAGAGGTGAGTGTTTTGAAGGTGGTGAGGTCAGTGCAGTCTCTGATGGGTTGTGGGATTGAGTTCCAGAGGGAGGGGGCAGCGACGGAGAAGGCTCTGTCCCCCCAGGTCCGGTGATTGCGGGTGGGGATGGATAGGAGGTTGGCTTCTGATGAGCGGAGGCAGCGGGAAGGGGTGTGGTGGTGCAGCAGGTCTGTGAGGTAGGGGAGGGGGGGGGGGGGGGGTCGGGGTCTCGGGAGCGGGTGTGGGTGAGGAGGCGGGCAGCAGAGTTCTGGATATGTTGGAGTTTATTAATTAGGTTGGCTGGTATGCCGTAGTAGAGGATGCTATTGCAGTAGTCGAGTCGTGAAGTGATGAATGCATGAATCAGGGTTTCAGCAGCAGAGGAGGAGAGTGATGGGCGGAGACGGGCAATGTTTTTGAGGTGGAAAAAGGCGGTCCTGGTGATGTGATTAATGTGGTGGTTGAATTTGAGCTGACTGTCGAAGATGACTCCGAGGTTGCGGATGTGAGGGGGGGAGATATAGTGTGGCTGTCAATGGTGAAGTTGAAATAAGGGGCTATTTCTTTAAAACGTTTATATATATATACTGCTTCTAAATGGTTTGAAGGGATGATTTAAGTTGATCTAAAACCTATAATAACACATAGGCCTACATTTTGTGTTATTAATACGGATCTGTAACTAGAGTTATAAAAAAACAGGTAGCCTAGTAGAGTTAAGTGTACAATATTGGCCTATAAATTATAGTGGAGCCAAATCTTTAAGTAGTAGGACATGTAAAAAGTTAGAAAAAGTACAACAACAACACATTGTAAAGAGTGTACTTTTAACCACTGCAGTTTAATTGTGTACCATCAGGTGGCAGCAGTGAGACACCAGCAGGGTTTTATCCACAGTCATTTGAAGGAGAAGAAGAAGACGCCGAGCGTAACCTGGGTGACGTCATTACGTTGTTTATGACGGAGAACTGTTGTTGTACGTAGCGTTAGCTTTTGTGCTACTTTTCACAAACAAACGATTAAGCATTAGTTTCGCTCCCAATGTGCATATTGTGGGACATAAAGGAGAATATAATAGCCCTGCAGCACTATTAAGGTAATAACGGCTTTATGTCTGTATTGTATTGTTGGCTGTAATAATAGTGTCAATAGCAGCCTCTTATTGCTAGCTAGCATGCTAATGTTCCATAGATATAAACAGAGCCTAATGCAAATACAGAGGTGTAAAGTAACTAAGTAACTCAAGTACTTTACTTAAGTATAATGGTGTGATACTAGTACTTTACTTGAGAAGTTCCAGTACTTCTACTCCACTACAGTTCAGAGGTAAATGGTGTACTTTTCCTCCACTACATGTATTTAGTACCTTTAGTTACTTCACAGATGTGGATGAATGATGTGAAATCTAACCATGTGTTAAATCAGACTTTAGTTCCACCTGGAGTAAATCCACCAGCTACCCTGCAGTATACAAAGTACTTCAGACTAGCTGAGCCTTTACCAGCTTTGAGAACACTTTCATGATCAATCATTATAAAACATATCATATATATTATTCTGAAATGGACCAATCTGCACAATTTATTTATATATTTGTTTGACAGGGACAGTGCACATTGATTGACATTTCTGTAAATGCGCCAGAGTTCGCCAACAGGCTATTTTCCGTCTGTAGTCCCTGGACAGATGTTGAAAGTCATCCTAAAAACAAAAATTCACTTCAAATAACAGGTAAATACAATCAGTAAAACAACACTCAACAGAGATACTTATATTATGATAAAAGCATATATAAAAACATAAAAACAAAACTAATTATTCACAAAGCAGACAGATAGCAACAGGTCAAGGCACATGTACAAACAGTGTTAAAGTGCAGATTGTGTCAGTGTTGACAGAGCTGACTTTCCACTAACCATGTTTTTAAGGTAGATTGAAATAAACTGCAGGTGTTTTGTTCTCTAATCGTTACTGGGATTGAGTTCCACTGCAGCTTTAAAAGAAAAAGAAGATTGTCTGAATGAACTCTTCCTTAATGGAACAACGCAGTCTCCTCTTGCTGCAGCTCTTGTTGACCTGTTACAGGTGTGCGTATGGTGATAACATGTCTGAGCGGAGGTGAGGTAAGGCCGTGTATTATTTTGTACATGAGGCAAGTATTTGCATATCTCATTACATTTTCCAGCTCAACAAGTTATTTTGTGAGTATTGGGCAATGATGAGAATGAACTGATTTCTTATCTACTATTTTAAGTGTTTGTTTGTATAATGATTCCAGCGGTTTAAGAGTGGTTGTGCGGCATGTGAGCAGGTTGTTAATCAGTAGGTGATGTGAGATAGAACCATAGAGTGCATGTACATCAGAGCCGCCTCTGTTGACATGCAGTTCCTGTTGCAAACCTTTTTTCACTGTCGCTACTTTCACTATATTTAGATGAGAATACTTTTCTACTTTTACTTGAGGAACATTTTGAATTCAGGACTTTTACTGTAACAGAGTATTCCTACACTCTGGTACTTCTACTTTTACTGAAGTACAAGATCTGAGTACTTCTACTTTTACTGAAGTACAAGATCTGAGTACTTCTACTTTTACTCAAGTACAAGATCTGAGTACTTCTACTTTTACTCAAGTATAAGATCTGAGTACTTCTACTTTTACTCAAGTACAAGACCTGAGTACTTCTACTTTTACTCAAGAACAAGATCTGAGTACTTGACTTTTACTCAAGTACAAGACCTGAGTACTTCTACTTTACTCAAGTACAAGATCTGAGTACTTCTACTTTTACTCAAGTACAAGATCTGAGTACTTCTACTTTTACTCAAGTACAAGACCTGAGTACTTCTACTTTTACTCAAGAACAAGATCTGAGTACTTCTACTTTTACTCAAGTACAAGACCTGAGTACTTCTACTTTTACTCAAGTACAAAATCTGAGTACTTCTACTTTTACTCAAGTACAAGATCTGAGTACTTCTACTTTTACTCAAGTACAAGACCTGAGTACTTCTACTTTTACTCAAGAACAAGATCTGAGTACTTGACTTTTACTCAAGTACAAGACCTGAGTACTTCTACTTTTACTCAAGAACAAGATCTGAGTACTTCTACTTTACTCAAGTACAAGACCCTGAGTACTTCTACTTTTACTCAAGTACAAGACCTGAGTACTTCTACTTTTACTCAAGTACAAGACCTGAGTACTTCTACTTTTACTCAAGTACAAGATCTGAGTACTTCTACTTTTACTCAAGAACAAGATCTGAGTACTTCTACTTTTACTCAAGTACAAGATCTGAGTACTTCTACTTTTACTCAAGTACAAGACCTGAGTACTTCTACTTTTACTCAAGTACAAGATCTGAGTACTTCTACTTTTACTTTACTACAAGATCTGAGTACTTCTACTTTTACTCAAGAACAAGATCTGAGTACTTCTACTTTTACTCAAGTACAAGATCTGAGTACTTCTACTTTTACTCAAGTACAAGATCTGAGTACTTCTACTTTTACTCAAGTACAAGATCTGAGTACTTCTACTTTTACTCAAGTAAGATCTGAGTACTTGACTTTTACTCAAGTACAAGACCTGAGTACTTCTACTTTTACTCAAGTACAAGATCTGAGTACTTCTACTTTTACTCAAGTACAGACCTGAGTACTTCTACTTTTACTCAAGTACAAGACCTGAGTACTTCTACTTTTACTCAAGTACAAGACCTGAGTACTTCTACTTTACTCAAGTACAAGACCTGAGTACTTCTACTTTTACTCAAGTACAAGACCTGAGTACTTCTACTTTTACTCAAGTACAAGACCTGAGTACTTCTACTTTTACTCAAGTACAAGACCTGAGTACTTCTACTTTTACTCAAGTACAAGATCTGAGTACTTCTACTTTTACTCAAGTATAAGATCTGAGTACTTCTACTTTTACTCAAGAACAAGACCTGAGTACTTCTACTTTTACTCAAGTACAAGATCTGAGTACTTCTACTTTTACTCAAGTACAAGACCTGAGTACTTCTACTTTTACTCAAGTACAAGACCTGAGTACTTCTACTTTTACTCAAGTACAAGACCTGAGTACTTCTACTTTTACTCAAGTATAAGATCTGAGTACTTCTACTTTTACTCAAGAACAAGACCTGAGTACTTCTACTTTTACTCAAGTACAAGATCTGAGTACTTCTACTTTTACTCAAGTACAAGATCTGAATACTTCTACTTTTACTCAAGTACAAGATCTGAGTACTTCTACTTTTACTCAAGTACAAGATCTGAGTACTTCTACTTTTACTCAAGTACAAGACCTGAGTACTTCTACTTTTACTCAAGAACAAGATCTGAGTACTTGACTTTTACTCAAGTACAAGACCTGAGTACTTCTACTTTTACTCAAGTACAAGACCTGAGTACTTCTACTTTTACTCAAGAACAAGATCTGAGTACTTGACTTTTACTCAAGTACAAGATCTGAGTACTTCTACTTTTATTCAAGTACAAGATCTGAGTACTTCTACTGTTACTCAAGTACAAGACCTGAGTACTTCTACTTTTATTCAAGTACAAGATCTGAGTACTTCTACTTTTACTCAAGTACAAGATCTGAGTACTTCTACTTTTATTCAAGTATAAGATCTGAGTACTTCTACTTTTACTCAAGAACAAGACCTGAGTACTTCTACTTTTACTCAAGTACAAGATCTGAGTACTTCTACTTTTACTCAAGTACAAGATCTGAATACTTCTACTTTTACTCAAGTACAAGATCTGAGTACTTCTACTTTTACTCAAGTACAAGATCTGAGTACTTCTACTTTTACTCAAGTACAAGACCTGAGTACTTCTACTTTTACTCAAGAACAAGATCTGAGTACTTCTACTTTTACTCAAGAACAAGATCTGAGTACTTGACTTTTACTCAAGTACAAGACCTGAGTACTTCTACTTTTATTCAAGTACAAGATCTGAGTACTTCTACTGTTACTCAAGTACAAGACCTGAGTACTTCTACTTTTATTCAAGTACAAGACCTGAGTACTTCTACTTTTACTCAAGTACAAGACCTGAGTACTTCTACTTTTACTCAAGTACAAGATCTGAGTACTTCTACTTTTATTCAAGTACAAGATCTGAGTACTTCTACTGTTACTCAAGTACAAGACCTGAGTACTTCTACTTTTACTCAAGTACAAGACCTGAGTACTTCTACTTTCACTTGAGTAACATTTTGAATGCCGGACGGATACTAAGTATTTAAGTTAATCAACATGTCCCTGCTGGATGAAAGCCTGAGTGACTCATCATTAAAGTGTATTTGCAAAGTACAGAAGGCATACAGCTTACTTACTACAATAACACTAGTGTTTTATGATCTGTTGCATGCTGGGTTGTTTGTTCTCAGCTGTGTGAGTCAATACATCAAACACGTCGTCTAGATTCATGTGTGCATAGCTACAGCGTAGATGACAATGAGAATCTGAGGTCACAGGCTCCTCCAACAGCGACACAATAACACACATCAAATAGTGAATACAATGAAATAGAACATAGTCGACATAGTGCAGAATAGTATACAAGTCATTGGAATCTTGATATACATAAGTTGCAAACAGATGGATGTTCTTTCAACCGTTCAGGTGTTCATCGGCCTGATGGCCTGAGGGAGGAAACCGTCTCTAACTGAACCGTTCACTTTCCTTTCAGTGCAGACAGTAATGCCATAAAGAAAGGAGGCACGTTTTGAGGAGATCTCTCTTCAGAAATGGCGACTGAACTCCATGAGGCTATCTTCATGGCTAAGCAGGAGCGCCACAAAAACCTGTTTCTGAACTACAGGAACCTGAACCACTTCCCTGTGGAGCTGCTGAAAGACGAAGGCCTTCAGTTCCTGGAGAGGCTGTACATGAAGAGGAACTCACTCACCACACTGGTATCTATTTACCTGACGTCAAACCTGCTTTTAAAACATCTTAGAAGTTTCCTGTGACTTTTACTGATCTGCTTTCTCCCTCAATCAGCCGGACGACCTCGCTCAGAAGCTCCCAAATCTAATCGAACTGTGAGTATTTATTACGCAAAACCCTCTTCTTCATGTCTCTTCTACATCAACATGTGTCTCCTCTTCTTCATGTCTCTTCTACATCAACATGTGTCCCCTCTTCTTCATGTCTCTTCTACATCAACATGTGTCCCCTCTTCTTCATGTCTCTTCTACATTAACATGTGTCCCCTCTTCTTCATGTCTCTTCTACATCAACATGTGTCCCCTCTTCTTCATGTCTTCTCTACATCAACATGTGTCCCCTCTTCTCCATGTCTCTTCTACATCAACATGTGTCCCCTCTTCTTCATGTCTCTTCTACATCAACATGTGTCCCCTCTCTTCATGTCTCTTCTACATCAACATGTGTCCCCTCTTCTCCATGTCTCTTCTACATCAACATGTGTCCCCTCTTCTTCATGTCTTCTTCTACATCAACATGTGTCCCCTCTTTCTTCATGTCTTCTTCTACATCAACATGTGTCCCCCTCTTCCTTCATGTCCTCTTCTACATCAGCATGTGTCCCCTCTTCTCCATGTCTCTTTCTACATCAACATGTGTCCCCCTCTTCTTCATGTCTCTTCTCCATCAACATGTGTCCCCCTCTTCTTCATGTCTCTTCTCCATCAACAGTGTCCCATCTTCTTCATGTCTCTTCTACATCAACATGTGTCCCCTCTTCTTCATGTCTCTTCTACATCACCATGTGTCCCCTCTTCTTCATGTCTCTTCTACATCAACATGTTGTCCCCTCTTCTTCTTGTCTCTTCTACATCAACATGTGTCCCCTTCTTCTTCATGTCTCTTCTACATCAACATGTGTCCCCTCTTCTTCTGTCTCTTCTACATCAACATGTGTCCCTTCTTCTTTCATGTCTCCTCTTACATCAACATGTGTCCCCCTCTTCTTCATGTCTCTTCTACATCAACATGTGTCCCCTCTTCTTCATGTCTCCTCTACATCAACATGTGTCCCCTCTTCTTCATGTCTCTTCTACATCAACATGTGTCCCCTCTTCTTCATGTCTCTTCTTCATCAACATGTGTCTCCCCTCTTCTTCATGTCTCTTCTACATCAACATGTGTCCCCTCTTCTTCATGTCTCTTCTACATCAACATGTGTCCCCTCTTCTTCATGTCTCTCCTACATCAACATGTGTCCCCTCTTCTTCATGTCTCTTCTACATCAACATGTGTCCCCTCTTCTTCATGTCTCTTCTACATCAACATGTGTCCCCTCTTCTTCATGTCTCTTCTACATCAACATGTGTCCCCTCTTCTTCATGTCTCTTCTACATCAACATGTGTCCCCTCTTCTTCATGTCTCTTCTACATCAACATGTGTCCCCTCTTCTTCATGTCTCTTCTACATCAACATGTGTCCCCTCTTCTTCATGTCTCTTCTACATCAACATGTGTCCCCTCTGTGGAAAGAGACTCTGAAAGTTTCAGGAACAAAGATTCTCTCTCTTTTTGATCCATTTCTATAAAAACCTGTCTGAAAATGATCTGATCAGATTTTGACCACTTTATGATGTCATAACAATGTGTTGTCTTGTGTAACCATTAGCCAATCAGCAACCAAGGTAACCCCCCCCCCTATCACCTGAATCTCCCTTTGAGTTCTTTGTAACCAAATGTCTCTCAGAGGGGCGTGGGGAGGGGCTCCTTATTTTCATCTAAAGTAACAGACAGAGAATCAGCACTTTGGAAACAGGGCTGAAACAGAGGGGATTATGGGTAATGCTGCAATGATCTGTTTGGTGTTTCAGCCAATCAGAGACAGGTTCTGGATATATCTGAGACCTGTGATATATTGATGAGAAACAGCATAATAGGGGACCTTTTAAAGCCGTTACACTTCACGACATTACATAAGCGGTGAAGATTACATACATTACACTGTTTTAAAATATAACCGACAGCAGCTAAAATATTCAGTTTTAATGTAATTATAACATCTGTTTGTTTTCCATTGAAGGTATTTGCACTCGAACAACATCATCCTTATTCCTGAAGGTGAGTCCTCTGGTTTTACATAATAATAAACCTTTGTTTCTCTGTTACTGATTACAATTACATTTATTTATATCTGTCAGCTCTTTTAACCTTACCTTACTTTAGGAATGCTTTTATGTGATTTAATTTATTCTTAATCTATTTATTTTTGTTTTGTTATTATTTCCGATCTGTTTTTATGTTTAGATGCTGTCGTTTAGTTCCCTTGCTCTCTGTGTATTTTGATGTGAAAGCACTTTGTAACTGTCTTTTGAAAGGTGCTATAAATAAAGTGTATTATTATTATATTCAGGGTTCTGTCTGCACGCCCTCAAACCCAAATGCAGTTTCCCTGTAAAATGTGAAAGTGATGCCAGAAAACAATATTTCTCTTCCTCAAAAACGGTATAATGACTCCAGAATTATGACCAGTCGAACAGAGCGTCAGACGGCAGAGACAGCTTTGTTGGTACGGAGCTCCGACGTCACGTTGTTGTTTACGTCCGCGGCGCCATCTTGTATACGGGCGTCATGATCTCGAGATAATTGATATATCTTATAAAGAAGATCAGCGCCACAGTATCACCACCTCATACTATATCTGTCTAGGAAACACCCCTGATATAATTACACAACTCTTTTGTATATAAAGTAATAACATATCAATACTGTCAGGATAAAAAAGGGTAAATTACTAAGAACTCCAAAACAACAGCCACACAACAGGAGGATTGAAATGAGAGAAATCTGGAGATGAAGTTGTTTTTATTTGTAAAATCTCTTCGGTTGTCTTTTCCCTATAATAATGCCCTCTGTTATCTTCGATCCCCAGCAAGTGAAATCCCGAAAAATACGCATGACTGATCTAAAACCATTGTTACTACATACATTTTATGAAAATAATTAGTACAATAAAATATAACTAGAAAAGGCATTTCCTGCAGAAAATGCGTGTGAATGCTGTAAACTGTGAACATTTGTAGCTGAATTTAGCTGAAAATGCAGAAAAAGCTGAATATGTTATTAGCTGAATGGCAAGACAAGACATTAACAAGACAACTGTGTTCCCACCCAAGGAATACGGAGGTAAAATTAAATCAGTCGACGACAACAAGCTCTGTCCCATACATGAGAAGCCTCACCCGCTGAAAAAGTGCAGAAGCTTCAGGAAGAAGACCATCGAGGATCGCAAGCAATTCCTGAAAGATCACTCCATATGCTTTAGATGCTGTTCATCCACAGAACATCTCGCGAGAGACTGCAAAGCGGAAGTACAATGCGGAGAATGCCAGAGTGATCGTCATCTGTCAGCCCTCCATCCGGGCCCCGCGCCATGGACATCCAGGCCCTTCACCCCTGCTCCAGAGCATGGCGGGGAGGAGGACAAGGTCACCGAAGACGTCACCGCTAAGTGCACAGAGGTATGTGGAGGAGTTAGCGCAAGAGCATGCTCAAAGATATGTCTCGTCAGTGTTTACCCTGAGGGGCACCATGAGAAATCAATGAAAGTCTATGCTATACTCGACGAGCAAAGCAACAAATCTCTGGCGAGGTCAGAGTTCTTCAGTGTCTTCAACATCCAAGGTGGTGAATTTCCATACACGCTGAAAACATGCGCAGGGCTCAAAGAGACAACTGGACGAAGGGCCCATGGTTACGTTATAGAGTCAATCGACCAGAAGATTAGTCTTCGTCTCCCTACACTCCTTGAATGTAACCAGATCCCCAACCGTTCAGAGATTCCAACCCCTGATGCAGCTTTGCACCACAATCACCTGAGGAAGATTGCGGACGAGATACCATCCCTTGATCCGCAAGCAGAAATACTCTTGTTGCTTGGCAGGGACATCCTTAGAGTCCATAAAATCAGGAAGCAAATCAACGGACCACACAATGCTCCATTCGCCCAGAAGTTGGACCTTGGTTGGGTCGTAGTCGGTGATGTCTGTCTAGGAGGGGCTCACAAGCCATCTGTAGCCAGACTGCAAGGAATCTGGGTGTGACCCTAGATAACAACCTGTCCTTCACTGCAAACATCGCTGCTACAACCCGTTGCTGCAGATACACGCTTTACAACATCAGGAAGATACGTCCCCAGCTGACTCAGAAAGAGACTCAGGTTCTGGTCCAGGCTCTCGTCATCTCACGCCTAGACTACTGCAACTCCCTCCTGGCTGGTCTACCTGCATGTGCCATCCGACCTCTGCAGCTCATCCAGAATGCAGCGGCTCGTCTGGTCTTCAACCTTCCTAAATGTTCCCACACCACTCCGCTCCTCCGCTCCCTTCACTGGCTTCCGGTAACTGCTAGAATCCACTTCAAGACACTGGTACTTGCTTACCATGCTGCGAATGGATCTGGCCCTTCCTACATCCAGGACATGGTTAAACCGTACACCCCAGCGCGTGCACTACGCTCTGCATCAGCCAAACGACTCGTTGCGCCCTCGCTGCAAGGGGGACCCAAGTTCCCATTGGCGAAAACACGTGGGTTTGCTGTCCTGGCTCCAAGATGGTGGAATGAGCTCCCCATTGACATCAGGACGGCAGATAGCTTGCACATCTTCCGGCGCAAACTGAAAACTCATCTCTTTCGACTCCACTTCGAGCGTTAGAACTATTAACGAAGCACTTTTATACTAATAAAGGACTGGCTTACCTAAAGCCAGTTGAGTAGCACTTGAAATGTTTGGCTCTATGAAACCTGATGTACTTATATGATTCTGTTTTCTTCAAGGTTGTGTCTTCCTGGTCGAATGTACTTATTGTAAGTCGCTTTGAATAAAAGCGTCAGCTAAATGCAATGTAATGTAATGTAATGTAGTGAGCACGCTCAAGACTGCCATCTTGGAAAATGGCCGCCCAAGCTACCTGCAGCCCTGTGGCAGTCAAGTGCAGGTAAAAGAAAGATTTGGTCATGACACTATGCACCAAGCTTTCCCAGCGACTTCTCCAGACAGTTCACTCTCAACAATAGATGAGGAGAACCTGGGTCAATTCATCTTTCGTCGCACTCCCAGCGACCACAAACTCGCCCCCTCAATAGACAACATGAGGTTTCTCCGCATCATGGACAGCGAGGTCCATCAAGACAACTCCAACAGCTGGGTTGCTCCCTTGCCCTTTAAGATACCCAGACAAAGGCTACCAAACAACAGAGACTGTGCCTATAATCGTCTCATCTCACTCCGTCGGTCTTTAGAAAAACGTCCCCAGATGAAGACACACTTCCTGGAATTTATTGAGAAATTATTCAAGAATGAACACACAGAGGTAGCTCCTCCACTGCAGGAAGGCCAAGAAGTCTGGTATCTCCCCTCCTTTGGAGTCTATCATCCGAAGAAGCCGGAGCAGATTCGAGTTGTCTTCGACTCTAGTGCAGCCTATCAGGGCATCTCTCTCAACAACGTGCTTCTCCGAGGCCCAGACCTGAACAACACCCTCATTGGTGTACTCATGAGGTTCAGAAAAGATCTCGTCGCAATAACAGCTGATGTCCAGCACTGGACATTTCACTTTCACTGTTTCGTCGTGAAAAAAAAGCATAGAGATTTTCTGCGTTTCCTGTGGTATCGCAATAACAATCTTGACAGCGACATTGTGGAGTACAGAATGCACGTCCACGTCTTTGGAAACAGCACTTCCCCAGCCGTTGCCATCTATGGGTTGAGGAGAGCAGCGAGAGAAGAAGAAAACGACTTTGGCAGCAATGCAAGAAGGTTGATCGAAAGAGAGTTCTACGTTGATGACTTGTTAAAGTCCTGCCCCACTGAGGGAGAAGCTATCGGTGTCCTCAAGCGAGCTCAAGAAATGCTTGCCGTTTCCAACCTTCGGCTGCATAAAGTGGCCTCTAACCGACAAGCCATCATCGATGCTTTCAGCCCTGAAGATCGGGCCAAATACATCCAAGAGCGCAATCTCTTCAGCGACGATATGCCCCTGCAACGGACTCTAGGGGTGACATGGAGCATAACAGCAGATACGTTCATGTTCCAAGTTGCTGCTGAACGGAAACCCTTCACCCGGCGAGGAGTGCTTTCAACTGTGAATAGTATTTACGACCCCCTTGGTTTCCTTACCCCAGTAACTATACAGGGAAGGCTACTCCTCAGAGAACTCTCCATACAAGCTGAAGAATGGGATTCTCCCCTTCCAAAAGGCATGGAAGCAGATTGGGACAGATGGACGGAGTCTCTTCAAGACCTTAAAGACCTCAAAATACCAAGAGTGTACACGTCTACCTCAAGCCTTAATGCTCAGCTCAGAGAACTATGCATCTTTGCAAATGCATCAGTGAAGGCAGTTTCAGTGGTGGCATACTTGAAAGTAACCAACAACGCCGGACGAGTAGAAGTTGGCTTCGTCTTCGGAAAGGCCAGACTAGCTCCAAAACCAGACCTTTCTATACCTCGGTTGGAGCTTTGCGCGGCAGTTCTCGCAGTCGAGATGGCCAACATGATAGTGGAAGAAATGGATCTGAAGTTTGACAGCATCGAGTACTACACCGACAGTAAGGTGGTACTTGGCTACATCCATAATCAATCCAGGAGGTTCTACGTTTACGTGAACAACAGAGTTCAGCAAATCCGTCAGTCCTCAGCTCCAGAACAGTGGCAGTATGTGTCCACCGATCATAACCCAGCAGACCATGGGACTCGATCCGTGCCAGCGTCACTTCTGGAAAGTACAACAGGGCTCACCGGGCCAGCCTTTCTCTGGAATCCATCTCCACCAAAACCAGAATGTCAAGAGATCTATGATCTAGTTGATTCCATCTCAGATTCCGAGGTTCGCCCACAAGTTGTCGTTAACATCACTAACATCAAAAAGAACACTTTGAACACAACACGCTTTGAGCGCTTCTCCGACTTCGACACTCATCAAGGCAGTAGGACACTTAGTCCACATCGCTTCGTCTTTCTCTCAAGCTAGACAGGTGGACACCTGTCACGGGTGGCACATCTGCCGCAAGGGGCTTTCCAATGGGGAGACGGAGAAAGCTAAGATACTGGTGATCAAAAGTGTGCAACGTGAGTGCTACGTGAGTGCTACGCAGAAGAGTTCAGGTGTATCGAAATGTCAGGCAACCTCCCTCTCAACAGCAGTCTGCGGAAACTACATCCCTTTGTCGACAGCACTGGAATACTCCGAGTGGGAGGTCTCAACAAAGAGTCCCAGTTAAGCACAGACGAAACCAACCAACCACATTGTTCCAGGCCATCACCATCTAGGAACCCTCATTGTTCGTCATCACCACCATGCTGTGAAACACCAAGGCAGGCATTTTACAGAGGGCGCCGTCAGAGCATCTGGAATCTGGATGGTGAGAGCTAAACGAAGCATCAGTAGTCTGGCCTTCAAATGCGTGACCTGCAGAAAACTTTGAGGGAAAACAGAGCACCAACAGATGGCAGATCTGCCTGCCGAGCGGCTACAGGCAGCACCACCCTTTTCCTATGTGGGAGTGTATTCGGGCCTTGGGAGGTGGTCTCTCGCCGTACCAGAGGAGGGCAAGTCAACAGTAAACACTGGGCAGTGTTGTTTTCATGTATGTGTACACGAGCTGTGCACATCAAAATCATCAAAGCTATGAGTGCTAGCAGCTTCATTAATGCACTCAGAAGGTTTTTCGCTATCAGAAAACAAGGAGATGTAGTCTTAATGAAAGATGCTCAAGCAAAGAGAAATTACTGGCCCACAGCAGTCGTCACAAAGGCTTTTCCGAGCCAGGATGGACTGGTGAGGAAAGTAGACGTGCGAGTGATCAAGGAGGGCAAGCCAAAGGTTTACTCCAGACCTGCGACAGAAGTGGTCCTTCTCCTCAAGCGGGGAGTGTTGTGTTCTGTGTATAGAGCTGTGTGTTTGTGGGAGCCCCTAGTGGCGAGTGATAATAGTACAGCCTTATCTATCACAGGAAATAGTCATACAGGAAGCAGTGTTGCCAACTTGGCGACTTTGTCGTTAAATTTGGCGGCTTTCCAACCCTCCGGCTACTTATTTTTGTCAAAAGCGACTAACGACTAATCTAACGACTTGTAATGGTGTTATTAGGGACTTTTCTGGTGTTTGGAGACTCACGTATTGTTCTGCAGTTAACGAGCTGCCGTGACTTGAGCCCCTCAGCCCTCCCATAGTACTCACAGGCGCGCAGACTCACAGTTGCCTCCCGCAGCAGCTCAGCTGCAGTCAGAGCAGAGAGGAGACAGCCACACTCTCCCGCGTCGAGACAGCTTCAGTCACTTAATCACCTCGTCCACTGTGTGTGTGCCTCTGTGACAAGCTAAACATCCACATAGGCAGGGCTGCACATAACTGGTGCGCAGGTGCGCATGCGCACCTCCGCCAAAAAAAGAGCACCGGGTCATTTGAAAAAAGGCGCATTTGCGCACCAACATTGAGAGAGAGGGAGAGAGAGAAGGGAGGAGAGAGAAGGGAGAAGATAGGAGATAGGAGATAGAAGAGAGAGAGAGAAAGATATTTGCGAGTTGCATATTAACTGAGGGCCAGCCTGTAGCACTGGCGTTATAGATGTTCCCCTATAGGGCGCCAGATCTGTGGAGGCGCTGCGCTGACAGCTCTGGGAGGTAAAAAAACATTTTTAACCGTTGGCGCTCATCCTAATTTTCGGCCTTGATGTAACAACATTCATAATTAAGTAAATGGAACACCCTTTTCACCCCGGTTACACGTTTCATTTGCCCTGTACGATGGCCGCTGTAAGTGATGAAAATAGGGGATGTTGGCTTATCTGGCGCCCGCAGCTCACAGCGAAAATGCGAGTGAGCGTGGGAGAGAGGGAGGGTTGTTAGGGCTGTTGTTATTAGAATCTGGTGCTAGCTGCTCTAACGGATATAAGAAGAAGATGTTTCTACAATAATGTGGAGGGAGAGTCCTCTCCAGTCAGACTGAGAGGCTGATAAGTTAACTACAGCTCAGTGAGGTAAAGTACTCTGAGTGTTTAGATAGTTCACTTTAGTCTAAGTTCAAACGGTTTGGTCACAATTTATGTAAACACACATTTCCAAGGCACTCCTTTATAATTATTGGGATACACAGGTTTGAAATCATTCCAACATACTATAGGACAGTAACCAAAAATATCCTTTAAAACTGGAGAGATAAAAAAAAGATGCATAAATAAATAAATGTTAAGGTAAAATAAGATATGAATGAACAACACAAATAAAATAAGTTTAATTTGTTATTGGCTATGGTAGGTTATTGGTTATGTTCACATACTTATTTGATTACATCCACTTGTCTAAGATGATCACAACAGAGACTTTCGACCCAAAACCAGCTGTTGACTTGTGGATGCAAGCATCTAATCGCATACTCAACCAGAGAGAAAGAAGTAGGCCTACATCATCAGCTACCATGTCTGACAGAGAGGAAGACAGTGAGGAGAGCAGTCAGGAGGGTAGTGATGACAGCTTGTAGGATTACTGGTCGTGCTAATGTTGTCTTGTGTTCACCTCTGCATGTGTGTTCTGTGTTCACCTCTGCATGTGTGTTCTGTGTTCACGTCTGCATGTGTGTTCTGTGTTCACCTCTGCATGTGTGTTCAGTGCCGTGTGTCTGGCAAATAAAGTCAAGACCCCCTCAAAAGTTACGGTTTATTTCATTTTAAGGATGAGCACCAAGCAACATCTCCAGGTGATCCTTTGAGAACCAGGGCAAAAAAGTTATGTGCACCCCTGCACATAGGTCATCATGTCACAGTCTAAACTGTATTCACAAAAGTACATAAAGTAGTACATAAAGTAGTGTGAATCAAACCCTGAGTTTAAAAGATACTATACTGCCTTTATTGTAAGGGATATTTCTATTAAAAACTACTACTACTAAAACTATACTTTCTACTTTTTCTAATAGACATTTCTGATCTACTGTCGTCTGGATTTACTCTGGTGGTTTCAAGTTTTGATCCTTGAAGGGAGTGGAACGTTATTTTACCGCCATTACATGATATTCAAATTAGGCGATGACGTCATTTAGGGACTTCTGGCGACTTTTCGGACAGCCAATAGCCAGAGCCATATAATAGCTATTTCTTTACTGCAACACTGACAGGAAGTTGTGTCAGTCAGTTGGTAAATTACATGTGGCAGTCTCGTCTTGTTAGCTCCATAATCTGGCTGCATCCATCTTCTGGAGACTTGTTAAGCGCATTGTCTGTAAGTAAATATGTTAGTTGAAACTATATTAATGTAGAACAGTGTTTATTTCATCATTTGATCATATTTCATACCTTTATTATCCTCTTAAGCCCCACGGACCCGGTTTCTGGGGCCGAAATCGCGTCATTTGCAGGAAACAACGTCTAAGGAACCTTAATATTTAATAAACTATGAATATTGTATATCCATATAACGGGAAAAAACTCATTTAACAGATATTTTTCATTTTTTTTCTTCAAATAAAAAAACACAATGCTAACCGTGAGCCTCTGAATTAGCCCCGAGCGAAAAATGCTAACCTATTACTGCACCGAAAATCTTATTACTTATCCTAGCTGCACATCCAACACATCGTTTATGATCGTAAAGACACAGAATCTAACGGTGCCCACCTCAACACTGAAAGATACAAACTCGCGACGTTATCAACAAAAAGGTACATCAAAACAAGTGGCGCTAGCCCACAACGCTAACATGGCTTTGATGGTCTTCGTCAAAACTGGTCTTCAATGGCATTAAAACGATAACAACGATGATGTAGTTAATCCATATATTGATTCTGACTTTTCTACATCCAACTCACAGGTTTATCATTACTTTGAGAAAAAAGATTATTAATTTAACCCTTTTAGAAGGGAAGATATGGTCATTTGTTCTGGGAATGTCATTTTCGAGCCTGAAACCTGAAAAACAGGCTCAGGGTTTAAGAGGTGACGTTAAACTGCATCTGCACCACTAGGCCTAAGCTAACGCCTCATGTCAATGACAATGTAATCCGTTAGCGTATTAGCTCGTTGTTAGCTTAGCCTCTTTAGCATACTAGCTCGTCGTGAGCTTAGCATATTAGCTCGTTGTTAGCTTAGCACTGTTAGCATTTTGCTAATCTCTTGTTTTCTCTTCACTTATAAAATAGATTAGTTTGTTAGCCTTCTAAGCTGTCTAACTAGCCTAGCTATAGCATGGTCATTTATGTTGTGTTTCTGTACCTGTCATGTAAAGGCAAGGCAAGGCAAGTTTATTTATATAGCACTTTTCAACACAAGGCCATTCAAAGTGCTTTACCAAAAATGAAAGAGATTAAGAAAATGGCATTTAAAATCAGTCATTAAAAAGAAAAGCTAATAAATACTATACTATAAACTGTAAAACAATGTCCTTTTCTTGTGTGTTACAGTTTTACAATAAAGAATATAAGAATATTCAAGAGCTTCAGTAATCTCCAATTCAGAATCCCGTTCTCCTGGAATTATTTGAAGTTCATGTTTATGCTGACTGAATAGCTAGATTCCAGGAACATCTAGTGAGAACAGTACACTACCACTCTGTTGTCTTTTCCCTATTCTACCACTCTGTTTTTTCCCTATTCTACCATTCTGTTGTCTTTTCTCTATTCTACCACTCTGTTGTCTTTTCTCTATTCTACCACTCTGTTGTCTTTTCTCTATTCTACCACTCTGTTGTCTTTTCCCGATACTACCACTCTGTTGTCTTTGATCCCCAGCGATCGGCAGCCTGTCTCGTCTGCAGTCGTTGGACCTGAGCAACAACGCGCTGCAGTTCCTCTGTCCGGAGATCGGACGCCTCAGATCTCTGAGACACCTCCGACTGTCCAACAATCAGCTCAAGTGCTTTCCTCCAGGTACGTCTACCATCACAAATATCTCTATAACGTTTCTACGGTGCATCACCATCAGCAACTTAAACAAGTGCACACACAATGACAATATGCTATCTTTAAGCCATGGAAAACTAAGTATACGCATGTACAAGATTATATTTGCAAAGAGAAAGAATGAAAAACACACAAACGACAGAAAAAATAAGAATATTAGATATATATATATATGCTGCAGATAAGCTATACCACCAACAGATCGTTTTACAGAGTATTGAATGCATGCATCTATTCTGCAGATACTCTACAGACTTGTCTTTATACTGTTAATATGTATATATATAATGTTTTGGAAAGGTTTTATGTTGAACTCATGTCCAATGCCTTGTTAACATGCTCCCGAACCAAGACAATGTCCTAAATTGGGATCAATAAAGAACATCTAATCCAAAACATGACGGCAGAGTTTTTATCTTGATTAGTTAAGGTCATCCAAAAAAATTGAAGTTTATTTTGTCACTTTACTTCTGACACAGTTTAACATTTAAGAATGTTTTCAGTAAGACAACAAATAACTGACAGTATGTTTGACCAAAGACAGGGTCAAGTGAAAAAACAATATACACAATAACATATCAAAGTTGTGTGTGGGAGAGGAACTCACACAGGGATTTTATTGTCCCCGGTGTGTCAGGGAACTCACGCAGCGTCAGAAAATAAAACCCTCTCTCTTCTCCTCCGTACCCAAATCTCTAAAGACGGGGCTACAACGGCGCTGTTCTCATTCATAACACTCCGTTCGATGTCTCACTATGGGATGCGCCTCATCACGGAGCAAACAGAAGCATCAATCTCATTACGCCAATCCTGATTGGCTGGAGATCTTGACGTCAGCGTCAGGGAATTCACCCCCTATAAGTAGCTTGCGCCACGACGCATGCATCATTCAAACACCTCTTCTCGCTTCAGAGCACATCTCTATAGTAGCCGGACAAGCTTAACGGTCCACAGACTGAACCCAAATATAACCATTTCGGTCGACGGGCGCTCGCCGGCTACTCCTTCTGCTTCGCAAGAAGACGGTAATACTAACGCCAGTTAGTATTAAAATCGACCTCGCCGTTTCTTTCCCCGGAAAGTAAGGTAAGGTTTTGATTTTTCTCAAGCTAGCTACGCACCTGTTGCTAGCTAGCTTCCCCTTACTACCGACACCACGGTAGCGAGGACGCTTTTCTTTTTCTCTCTCACGGAGGAGAAAAGGATTAGAAGTATATTGACACACCAGTCAATATTCTTTGAGAACAAAGGACCCACACCGTCCCCTTTTTCTCCGGATTAAGGACGGGTTGGTAACACTTTTTCTCTCAACGACGTACCTGTTACGAGCGGGTCCTCTCCACGCCACGAGGCGAACAAGATGGACGCCTCTCCCCCTCACACCAGAGGAGTCAGGGACTCGGTCGGTCATGCGGTTGCGGGTTGAAGATAGCAGGCACAGACTCACACCAGGTCTGCTCGTCCTGCCTCGGGCTGGAACACGCCCAGGAGGCTATCGACAACCCCGGCTCGTGCGGGCATTGTGCCCTTTTCACCCGAAAGAGCCTCCACCGACGGCTAGCACACCAAGCTAGCTTGTTGGAACAGGACTCCCTCATGTCCACTGATTCGCCGTTTGGCAATCAAGACACGGGGGCGTCCGCCGCAGAGACTGAGCCCCTCACTGTGTCGGTCTGGGGCTCACTAACAGCGGCAGCTGCGGAACCGGGATCCCACGCCGTGTCAGGCCGGGACCCGGTGGCGGCAAGAGACGCGGGAACGGAGCCCACGCCTCACCAGGCGCAGAGGCTCGGCCTGCTCCGCATACCGCCGATGGAACTGCTGGTGGCAGCCCACCTCCTACCGAGGATGGGCCCGTCACCAAGCAGGAACCCCACGCTGCCAGCGAAGGTGGACCGTTTCCAGTCGACCATGACTGAACGGTCCTACAGAGCCGCAGCGTTGTCCGCCAGGGCTCTGAACGTTTCCTCACTGCTAACCGCATACCAAGCGGAGCTCTGTGAGGATATGTTGAGTAATCCTGGACCGGCCGTTCTGGATGAGTTGGCCGCGGTCACAGACATTTGTCTCCGTGTCCAACGCTGCGCCGTCCAGGCCACGGGCAAAACAATGGGGATCATGGTGGTGCAGGAAAGAGCTAGATGGCTCAACCTCCCAGACCGGGAAAAGGAGGATGTGCTTGACATGCCCATCGTTCCCGAGGGGATTTTCGGCTCCGCTCTTGCCTCCATGCAGAGGAGATGCGATTCGAAAAAGAAGGAGGACGAGGCCCTCCACCTCTGCCTCCCTCGAAGGGCTCCGAACCCTGCTCGGTTCAAAATACCGAAAATGCAGAGGTTGCAGTCCGCCCCGAGTCCCCAGCCCAGGCAGGGGACGAGGGCGAGCTGGCCTAGAAAATCTCCGGTTCCGGCTGCAGCCCAGGCGCAGCCAACCCAGAATTTCGGCCAGCAGTCGAGGAAGAAGAAGCGAGCGGCGTGACAGCCCCTCCTTCTCCCCTCTGTGACAGAGCTGGAAGTCTACGGTTCCCCAGCTCTAAATGTGTTTCCGCCGCCTCGAGAGATGCCTCAACACCATCCTCAAGTCCGCGTAAACACATGTCACACACTTATTGATTTTTCTGTCATAAAACATTTTCCGCTGACGCATCCAGGCTTCGAGCCAAGGGCGCAGCTCGAAAATGAAAAGAAAAACAATAAACAGTCCGTCAACTGTTCCCCTTCTGAGAGCAGCTACGGCCTCTCTCAAAGGGCGGACAATTGACGGATCTGTGAAGGCACCACCGTCACGCGCATGCGCAGTGCCGGCTGGGGCTGTAAAGGCACCACCGTCACGCGCATGCGCAGTGCCGGCTGGGGTCGTAAAGGCACCACCGTCACGCGCATGCGCAGTGCCGGCTGGGGTCGTGAAGGCACCACCGTCACGCGCATGCGCAGTGCCGGCTGGAGCTGTAAAGGCACCACCGTCACGCGCATGCGCAGTGCCGGCTGGGGTTGTGAAGGCACCACCGTCACGCACATGCGCAGTGCCGGCTGGAGCTGTAAAGGCACGCGCGGAGAGTTATGGTTACTGTGAAATGCGTAATGGCACTGCGCCACTGGCTGCACCCGACTTTTCCAGTACGAGGTGTGCCTATGGGTGCTGTCCTTTCACGGAAAGTGGTCACCACGGACGCATGTCTGACAGGTTGGGGAGGTATTTATGAAGGTCGCCCGGTGAGGGGTCTCTGGAGCAGAGACCTCCAGCGGGCGCACATAAATTACCTGGAGCTTTTAGCGGTGTTTCTCACCCTAAAACGCTTTCTGCCTTTCCTCAGGGGACATCACGTCCTCGTGAGGACAGACAATACGACCACAATATCGTATATTAACCGCCAAGGGGGTTTGCGTTCTCTCCAGTTACACACACTGGCGCGCAAACTGATCCTATGGAGCGGTAGACGTCTCCTCTCTCTGAGAGCGACGCACTTACCCGGAGTGATGAACCTCGGGGCAGATCTACTGTCCAGAGGTATACCACTTTATGCAGACTGGACTCTACATCCAAGGATTGTGAGCCAGCTGTGGGTGCGTTACGGCAGAGTACAGTGCTGTTCTTTTCAATGCGCGATCTAAATGCACCGTTAGGCGTGGATGCACTCGCGCACGATTGGCCCCCGGGCCTTCTGTACGCGTTCCCACCCCTGGCTCTGATACCCCCAACTCTGGCCAGAGTGAGAGAGCAACGCCACACACTTATCCTGATAGCTCCACACTGGCCAGCTATGTACTGGCCAGCGGAGATATATCAGCTGCTGTGCGGGCAGCCATGGCAGCTCCCACTATGCAGGGACATACTGTCCCAAGCGGGGGGGGGGCGATCTTTCACCCACACCCAGAGCGCTTGGCTCTATGGGCCTGGCCCGTGAGTGGTACAATCTGAATACAGTGTGACATGAAGCTGACCCTGGCAGCTGCCAAGCGAGCCAGTGGCACTCATGCGCTATCTGTACAGTCTTCATGCACTCAGTTTGCCCCAGGGCAAACAGAGTGTGGTTGAAGCCCAACCCTACCTTTTATCTTAAGGCGGTTGGTTCAGGTACCACATTTGACATTGAGGCATCCTCCCCGCCACTGTATTCCTCCGGGGAACAGCGGCCGGATTTGCCGTGTCCAGCCCGTGCTTTACGCACGTACAGGGACAGATCAAGGGTGCTTCGTCATAATGACCAACCCCTTGTGTCCTGGGCTAACCATTATAAGGGCAAGCCTGTTACTAAGCAATGGCTCTCCCACTGGTTTGTGGAAGCAATTGCTTTGGGGCCCATATGAGTCAGAGTTCGCAGGCACCCTCGGGTCCGCGAGCTCTTTCGACTCAGGGTCTGGCTGCATCCTGGGCTCTGTCCAGGATGTCTCCCATCCAAGACATTGGTGCAGCGGCGAGCTGGTCCTCGCCGCTCACTTTTGTCCGCCTCTTAACAGGCTGGACGTTCTGCTCCCAGTGTGACTCAAGCAGTGCTGGGCACCTGGTTGAGTCAGAGCTCTACCTGTTAAGTTCTGGTTGGTTTGGTGATTTTCGAGATAAGCTCGTCTGACAATACGGGAGCTACAATTTCCCATAGTGAGACATCGAATGGAGTGTTATGAATGAGAACTATAGGTTACTTACGTAACCCCAGTTCTCAGAGTAACATGAAGTGAGATGTCTCACCAGACGGCCCTCCTTGCTATGGTGAAGCGAGAAGAGGTGCTTATTTTGAATAATGCATGCGTCGTGGCGCAAGCTACTTATAGGGGGTGAATTCCCTGACGCTGACGTCAAGATCACCAGCCAATCAGGATTGGCGTAATGAGATTGATGCTTCTGTTTGCTCCGCGATGAGGCGCATCCCATAGTGAGACATCTCACTTCATGTCACTCTGAGAACTGGGGTTACGTAAGTAACCTATAGATTCAGATTTGCGTCCGATATGACGTAATATCTGAAATGTGGGCGGGCTTTAGACCCACAGGCCTATCAGAAACATTGCTGTCAGAAACAATGAGCGACATGTTTTGGACGTAATATGGTCTTTGTTTACATTAGCATCGCTAATACTCAGAGCTAACCTGTACTGGAGAGAGTATGTCTAAAGAAGCAGGAAATAAAAAGGAACTCAACTTGTGGTATAACCGGCAAGAGAGAAAGCCTTTGAGCTCCATACTGTTTCAGAGACAATCCTTGATGTGGTTTAGAACATGATGGCGTTTAATCACGGGAGCATTTAGCTGAGTATCTCGTAGTATAGAGAGCCACAGTGACGCATCCTAAAACCCGGAAGTGAACTCCTTCCGGTTCCCTCGACAAAAACGCTATGCAATTTCTCCATAGGGTTTTTGAAAATCTCGAAATAAGGTCTGTGCTTGAGACACATTTAAGAGACGGATCACGTTTTGTTCAGCCGGATAATCTCCACATGTCTATCCTACTTTTATCATTTTCTAATCATAAATCTAGTCGCAAAATGCTAACGTTATGCTATAAACGAACTACAGCAGGGTGGCTGCTTCAACGTCACGCCAACTTCAGATCCATATTCAAAACTACAGATTCTAAATGGAACAAGTTGAAGCGTTTGTTTTAACAGTCTGCAGGAGGCAGGAACTTGCTCTCAAGCAGAACAGGGCAAACAAACTTAGAGGAGTGTTTACGTGTTCGGTGTAATGACGTACAACGTCCTCCACAACTTCTGTAGTCCTATTCAGCCACTTGTTAACAACCATCGTTTTTCAGACGCATCAACTCTTCAGAAATCACCAGTGGGGTCTCTGCTGATGTATTTAATGTCGTAGAACAAAACGTGATCCGTCTCTTGACTTTGAGTCGACCACAGACCTTATTTCCAGCTATTTTCCAAAATCCTATGGAGAGATCCCATTGGCTCTGAGACGAGGGAACAGGAAGTGGTAAAATGCTGACTCTCTTCCGGGTTTTAGGACGCGTCACTGTGGCACTCTATTCTGAGCAGGCATTAGCTCCCCCTCCTCTTTTTTTTTCAAGCTAAGGACCCCGAATCAGCATTCCTCTAACAGGGCTGACATACAGGGATATGAGGGATGTCTAAAATGCATGATCTGTTTTGGTATTTTGAGCAAAACACATAGACATGTTTTTATATATTTGTATATATCTGAGACCCATGATATATTCCATAAAAACAGCATGACACCTTTAAGAGAACACCTGCATTGAGTTGCAGTATTTATTTATCCAGCAGAGGGCAACAGCGCCTCTTGAACAAACATCGTCCCTGTATTTCAAGACTCTGATATGTTTTAATAATGACAGGCAGGTGTGCATTTCATATTTCAATGCGCTCTGATAGCACATTTTAACTTTGTAATCTGCTTATGTATTGTTGCGAAGTGGAACTAGTCCAAACTGAGCATTTTACTGTATGTTATTGCAGCAGTTTACAACAACAACAACAACAACAACGGTAAACATGCACTCCACATCTCGTATTCATTTCATCAATCGACCAACCGGGAAAGCTCAGAGCAGGATACTTCTTTATACTTCAAAATAAGAGCATTTCCTGTCAACATTTCAAAGTAAAACAGTTATTACCCTTTATATTTAGAGGTCAATCAGGTCAACATGTCTCAAAACAAATGCTTTCAACAAGTTACAACATGTGTTAAATATAAGTTTATAATTCAATTCAATAAGAATTGATTATATTTAAGTTACAACGTAATAATAATACATGGGATTTGTATAGCGCTTCTCCTGCTCAACGACGCTTTACATCAAATCAGAACGGAAACAATACAAAGAAAACAAAAAAACGTATTCCTAATCCAAGTGCGAGTAAAGTTGTTGTTGATCACAGTTTGAAAGCTAGAGTGAATAAATGAGTTTTGAGAGATTTTTTGAAGAATTCAAGACTATTAAATCCAATAATAATTTATTCCACTCGTGCTTTTTAAGCCAGTGCACTTTTTTTTAGGTTTTAAAAAAGGAAATGATTTTGTATGTAGTTTTTGGAGAGAATCTGAACTGATTACACAATCTTGCCCCTGTTTTAAATAGTTATTAACATCTGCAATTAAGTTCATGGAAAATCTTTATATCACAGACATTGTGCTCCTGAACATTGTGTTTTCAACCCCCTCCCCATCGTGTCCTCCTGTCCCCTCAGAGATCTGCTTTTCAACGAGGGTTGGAGAGAATTTGAACTTAACCAGTTGTTAGAAATTACATAAATCTTGTCCTTTTTTTGGGTTTGGAATATTTATTAACATTTGCATTGCAGTCTGAGAATTTGCATGGAAAATCTTGAAGTTTTGACATTGTGTTCCTGAACATTTGTCCCTGTTATTCCTACACACTGTTTTGAACCCCCCTCCCCATCGTGTCCTCAGAGATCGGGGACCTTCAGGACCTGGAGACTCTGGATGTTTCCATGAACCAGCTGACGTTTCTCCCCGAGCGTCTGCATCGCTGCGTGTCTCTGCAGAATCTCACCGCCGACCACAACCTGCTGACTCGATTCCCCCGACAGCTCTGCTGGCTGCAGCGCCTCAACCATCTCTCGATGGCCGCCAACCGCCTCACCTTCCTGCCCCTCGGTAGGCAGCTTAACTTATTCAACGGTTCAAAGGTTTTATTGTCATATGCACAAAGTAGACATGGCAATGGAATGTTTCTGACCTGAGCTCCAACAATGCAACATATATAATAAAATACAACAATAAAAAATAGTGCAAGAAGACTGCAGTGCTTGGTTTTCGGTCCTTTGATCACAAAGCACTAATTTCACTTCTGATGTATGTGTTTAAATTCAGTACGTCATGCAAACACGGCTACAGACTGATCAAACAGGGGGTGCTACACTGATTTAAAACTTCCTTTTTCAAACCATTTTAGCAAGCTGGGTCTGTCAGTCTTCCAACTAAAGCTTGACTTCAAATCTTGCAATAAGTAATGGATGTATTCCAATTTGACGGTATATTCATGGTCCCCAGAGGATGAATCCTACCAACTTCAGCTGGCATTTGAAACTTTCATTATCTCAGGATTTGATTGGATTTCCATTCTTGGAATTACAATTTTGCTCTTAATAATTCCTCATTTAGTGTGCAGGGGTGCACAGTGCAGCATAGTGGAGTAAGGGTACGCTTTTTCTATTTGCTTTAACAGAAACCCCCAAAAAGACAAAAGCAAACATTTATTGAGGATAAACTTTTATCTTTAACTTTTAATTTTACTACCGTTTTTGAATATTTCTCAGTGAGTTCAAGATTGTGTTTTTATATTTAACTCGTTTCTGGAGCAGCTGCGTGTTTCTCCGAATGGAAGGACCGTTGTTGCACGTTTGCCCCGGTCAGCCATCGTTGGAATAAAGCACCACTTAAATATTAAACTTTTGTTGAATAGAGAATGACGATCCCTTAGTTCTTGTAAAGCATGATTCATTTTGTCCTTTGTGTGTGTGTGTGTGTGTGTGTGTGTGTGTGTGTGTGTGTGTGTGTGTGTGTGTGTGTGTGTGTGTGTGTGTGTGTGTGTGTGTGTGTGTGTGTGTGTGTGTGTGTGTGTGTGTGTGTGTGTGTGTGTGTGTGTGTGTGTGTGTGTGTGTGTGTGTGTGTGTGTGTGTGTGTGTGTGTGTGTGTGTGTGTGTGTGTGTGTGTGTGTGTGTTACACAGATCTGGGCAGATCGAGAGAGCTACAGTTTGTGTTTGTTGACAGCAACGTGGATCTGATAGGATTTCCCTCCTATCTTTACAACAAGGTCATCGGCTGCAGCGGGTAAACCATTACAACCCTTTTAGAACCAAAAGCACATGCATATTAAAACACATTAAGTCCTCTCCCTGCTAAGTTGTTGCTCAATAAAAAAATGATATTCCACTTATACTCCAGTTTACGTGAAGCCATGCCATAAGGAAGTCTGATTCTAGCGCACTCGAGCTGGTTTCTCCAAAATTACCTACCCCACCTTTAATTTAATTACAAGTCAAAATAACTTTTGAACACAATCTGAAACCCAGGATCCTTGTTTCTGCTTCTGGCCGAGCACGTGGGCTGGAACATGCTCTGAATGTGTGTTTCTCCTCCAGGTGTGGTTTGTTGGCCCAGATGTCAAGGGGGGGGAGTCAGGCTCTGGTGGGCCTCCCCGCGGAGGTGAAGTTGATGAACTCAGAGACGGAGAACGTGGTCCCCCTGGAGGAGCTCGCCCTGAGGGCCCTGCACCGGATCTACTACCACGGCAAGACAGGTGAGGAGAGAGAGTTCACACATCCTTTACTCAAGTAGAAGTACAGATACTCGTGTTTAAAAATACTATGGTGAAAGTAGAAGTACTGACTAAACTGCTTTACTCAAGTAAAAGTAAAGAAGTATGGGCTTTGAAATGTACTTCAGTAAAAAGTACCCATAACTAGCAGCTGTTTTAAAGAGTACCTGACCTCCCTTTATATTAATGGAAGTGTAATGGACATTCTGTTCATCTAGAATTGAATGCTGTGATGTTATATTTAACATATACATAATCATATTCTATAAGCCTTACATGTCAAGAGAGCGTAGATCTCAGCACTCAGGAAGGTGACCATGGATCTGATCATGGGTCTATTTGACTCTGATCAGGGGTCAGTTATGTAACGACTGAAACCAGAACCAGAAAGACATCTCTTTGACGAGTTCAAAAAAGACAAGTCTTATGCTTCTGTCGTTTTTAATACTACCCCCCCCCCTCAGCTTAGCTATTGTAGTTTAGATCCAAGACAAAAATGACAGAAGGGGGACACGCTGGAAAACAAATCACTGCTCCTTCAGCCCCACGGACAGCGACAGCCTGAAGCGCTTCACTGACCAGGAAAATGTAAATACATACAAATACAGACCATTTTGATGAAAACCATAAATGACAACACAATAACATGAAATAATGTGAAACACTTTCCAAAATCTAAAGGAATACACTTAGCAATGGTCTTTATTATTTATGACTCTTGAATTAATGAATGCACCAACATTTAAACACCTATTATTGACGGAAAACTATGTTTATATGCATGTTTATTAGTAATAAAGATTCATAGGTCGGTGTAGACGTGGGGGCGAAGAAGACATTAACAAGTTGAACCACTGCAAGTTCAAAACGAGCGATAAAGACATTTAAAAAAGTGTTTTGACATTCCTGGGAATTATGAAAATACTAATGCATTTCAGTTTCCCATGAAACAATTGGAATGAACCAAAAAGAAAGTGTAATGCACCAATTACATTGAAGTGACATCTTTGACTGTATACGTGTCCAATAACCCCCCCCCCCCCCCCCTCCCTGTGTCTCCAGACCTAGCCCCCTCCCTCCTCAGCCTGCCCCCGCCCCTCTGTCTGCCCCAGAGTCTCCTCCAGCTGCTCCACTTCCCTCTGGGTCACTGTCACCGCTGCAGTCAGGCCATGTTCACCACCGCCTTCCCCAAGCTGTTCCCTCTGAGCGACACCGTGCTGGCAAAGGTGCACCGCAGGTCAGAACAAACGCACCTCTACAGAACAAACGCACCTCTATCGACATAACTCACCTCTACAGAACAAACGCACCTCTATAGACATAACTCACCTCTACAGAACAAACGCACCTCTACAGAACAAACGCACCTCTACAGAACAAACGCACCTCTATCGACATAACTCACCTCTACAGAACAAACGCACCTCTATAGACATAACTCACCTCTACAGAACAAACGCACCTCTACAGAACAAACGCACCTCTACAGAACAAACGCACCTCTATCGACATAACTCACCTCTACAGAACAAACGCACCTCTACAGAACAAACGCACCTCTATCGACATAACTCACCTCTACAGAACAAACGCACCTCTACAGAACAAACGCACCTCTATAGACATAACTCACCTCTACAGAACAAACGCACCTCTACAGAACAAACGCACCTCTATAGACATAACTCACCTCTACAGAACAGACTACAGAACAGACGCACCTTAGTTTAGTTCAAACTAGAATAAAAAGAGTTATTTCCTTATTTCAAGTATAAACATCAGAATTCTTTACATTTTAAAGATAACTTCACAAAATATAGTGGGTAAATATTAACTTGTGAAGAACAGGATATCTGAAACTAAAAAGGTAAATCTGTGTAGTTGTATAAATATATTTCTATAAAAACAAATACATATGGATATATAATGTCTAATATAGTCAACACCTGCAATTACAAAAAACACATTGATGCTTCAGCTTAAAACAAAACACCCATATCTAATAACGTTTGAGTTATTTTAGATTTGAAACATACTTTTAGTCTATAAAATATAACTTGAACGCATTTATTGTGTAAAATAACCCTTATTTATTCTCCCTTCTCTCCTCCGCAGGACGACGGTGAGTTTTGTGGCTTATTGTTGCTCCAGTCACTGCCTCCGGACCTTTTACCTGCAGGGATGAGGACACACACACACACACACACACACTCACTCGTCCAGAGAGCGGCAGATGAACGGTTCGTTTTGTTTGTGGATCTTTCAGGAACATTACTAAGAGAAGCAGACGCAGAATGTTAGGAGGTTTTTTTATTTTATGGACACAAGGCTCGTTGAGAACCTCACCAAAGACGTGTGTGTGTGTGTGTGTGTGTGTGTGTGTGTGTGTGTGTGTGTGTGTGTGTGTGTGTGTGTGTGTGTGTGTGTGTGTGTGTGTGTGTGTGTGTGTGTGTGTGTGTGTGTGTGTGTGTGTGTGTGTGTGTGTGTGTGTGTGTGTGTGTGTGTGTGTGTGTGTGTGTGTGTTAAACTAACATGATGACAGCTGAAGTATTCCACGCAAACATTTATTGAGGATAAACTTTTATCTTTAACTTTTAATTTTACTACCGTTTTTGAATATTTCTCAGTGAGTTCAAGATTGTGTTTTTATATTTAACTCGTTTCTGAAGCAGCTGCGTGTTTCTCCGAATGGAAGGACCGTTGTTGCACGTTTGCCCCGGTCAGCCATCGTTGGAATAAAGCACCACTTAAATATTAAACTTTTGTTGAATAGAGAATGACGATCCCTTAGTTCTTGTAAAGCATGATTCATTTTGTCCTTTGATTGTGTGTGTGTGTGTGTGTGTGTGTGTGTGTGTGTGTGTGTGTGTGTGTGTGTGTGTGTGTGTGTGTGTGTGTGTGTGTGTGTGTGTGTGTGTGTGTGTGTGTGTGTGTGTGTGTGTGTGTGTGTGTGTGTGTGTGTGTGTGTGTGTGTGTGTGTGTGTGTGTGTGTGTGTGTGTGTGTGTGTGTGTGTGTGTGTGTGTGTTATAGTCAGTGGCAGATTGGATATGCTACATGTTTAAGGTTCATGTTTAAACGTAAGTAAAAGGAATGATGCCGTTGTTGCTCCAGGTCTGTTCAGTTGGAGGTCTCCTGGGTAACTGATGCTTGTGTGTTGATTATTAATGTTGTCTAATTTCTAATGTGTCTTTTGTGTTGACTGTGTTTCAGTAAATATTGACTCGTTTGACTTTTGTTGTTTGTTCCTTTATTCACGTTGGTATAATGTTCATGTCACACTTTGTATCTTCAACTCAATCTGTGTGTTGGTGCCTTTCCTGTTGAGTTGCTAAATGCTTGAGAAAAGACATGATAAACCCCACACCTCAATAAGCAACAATAGAGTAATATATGGAACATGTGTTTTCATTATCTACTGATTTTGAATGCAAAGATTTCAGAAAATGCTCTTTTTGGCCTCGGAAATATGTAGATTTATATCATATTTATTTTAAATGACACAACATTAAAACATCACGTTGGACTGTGGGAAACTGGAAGACACTTTTTCACTGTTTTCTGACATTTTATTCACAAACCATTGAGAAAATAATTGTAAATTCCTGTAATATTTACAATTAAAATGTGAAATAAAGTGGGAAAACTAAACAAATGGGGTTACTTGGGTTTACATGATGATATATTCATCTTTAAAGTCCTTTTTTAATGCAAAGATGTCAGAAAATAGTGTTTTAAGGTTCTGAACTATGGAAATCTGCTGCTTTTCTCTATATAACATCTCATTAAAGTGAATATGTTGGGGTTAAAACTAACAAAAGAAGACACTTTTCCCTATTTTCAGACATTTTATAAACAAACAATTGAGAAAATAAATGGTAATTGGTGGGGATATTTTCAAATCGGTTGTAAAAGGGAAATCTAAAGGATGTTAATTCTGGCATGTTAAAGGTGGGGTAGGTCATTTTGGAGACACCAGGGGCCTGTACTACGAAGCAGGATTTTCGCTTAGCCGGCTAGATTCAGGGGAAACTCCGGCTTTCCGGTCCTACGAAGCTGGTTCTCTTTTTAGCGGGCTAGATCTCCATGGTAACTTATGCTTAGCGGCTAACCTGGGGGGTATACTACGAATCTAGTTCAACATATCCTGGATATGTTTTGAGTTAGCCCGTTGGCCTAATCCAAAACATACGCGCTCTCGCTAAACTGTCCTACGACGCTGGTTATCAAGTGGATCACTCAAGCCAGCCGTGTCCTATCTAGTTAGGTGCGCGTTCACATGAAAGGGGTGGTATCTGGAGCATTCGACCAATCACAAACATGGAGAAGCGTACTGACAGCGCAGCGTCATACTTCCTGAATGAAAAGTCAACTATAATATTAGTCAAAAATGAAGAAGTTAAACTTTAAACTGGATCATCCAGTTACTTTAGCCGGGCCGGCTCAGATGATTGGTCGTGCTTTTTACAGCGCCACAGATGACATTGTTTTATGTATTTGTTGTCAAAGCACTTCAGATATTCATTGCTATCGGGATGTTAAGAGCATTCCTTGGAATATAACAAAAAGTGTATCTCGAGCCGGTTTCTCAAACTTACCTACCCCACCTTTAACATACAGGGAAATTATATGAAATGTACATCAACATTATTAATACTCCTCTACGAAGAGTCAGAAGATCTTTATCGATGTTACAGTCAGGGATAACAACATGTCACGCTTTACTCGTACTTTCAGCAAAGAGAAGGATCAGATAAAAGAGAGCGAAGCACATCATCTCTTATCGAAGTGTGTGTGTGTGTGTGTGTGTGTGTGTGTGTGTGTGTGTGTGTGTTGGACCATGATCCTCTCTGTTCTCCTCTGGGAGTATCACATGTCCGCTCTCTGCACACGCTGCATGTTCATATTAAACATAAACACAGATCACATGACACCTAGTGTACACAGAGGTGTAAAGTAACTAAGTACATTTACTCAAGTACTGTACTTGTAATTTTGAGATACTTGTACTTTTACTTGAGTATTTCCATCTTATGCTTTGTACTTCTACTCATCTACAGTTCAGAGGTACATGGTGTACTTTTCCTCCACTAAATGTATTTAATACCTTTAGTTACTTTACAGATCTGGATGAAGGATGTGAAATATAATCAAGTGTTAAATCAGACTTTAGTTCCACCTGGAGTAAATCCACCAGCTACCCTGCAGTATACAAAGTCATTCAAACTAGCTGCACCTTTACCAGCTTTGAGAACACTTTCATGATCAATCATTATAAAACATATCATATATATTATTCTGAAGTGGACCAATCTGCACAACGACTACTTTCACTGTCGCTGCTTTCACTATATTTAGATGAGAATACTTTTCTACTTTTACTTGAGGAACATTTTGAATGCAGGACTTTTACTGTAACAGAGTATTCCTACACTCTGGTACTTCTACTTTTACTCAAGTACAAGATCTGAGTACTTCTACTTTTACTCAAGTACAAGATCTGAGTACTTCTACTTTTACTCAAGTACAAGAACTGAGTACTTCTACTTTTACTCAAGTACAAGATCTGAGTACTTCTACTTTTACTCAAGTACAAGATCTGAGTACTTCTACTTTTACTCAAGTACAAGACCTGAGTACTTCTACTTTTACTCAAGTAAGATCTGAGTACTTCTACTTTTACTCAAGTAAGATCTGAGTACTTCTACTTGAGGAACATTTTGAATGCAGGACTTTTACTGTAACAGTTAAGACAAATATTATATAGTATATCCATCTATCAGCACGAGAGATCTTTAAATGGGGATAAGGCAATGAGGTCCAATTACAGACCAATCAGCATCCTCCCCTGTGTCTCTAAGGTAGCTGAGAAATGGGCGTCAAAACTAATCCCCAAACATTTAGATAACGGTTTCGCTCCACTCCACCCAATGCAGTTTGGTTTCCGTGCTCACCACTCCACGGAGACAGCTAACTGTCTTTGTGGAAAAGGTTAAATCTATGTTGGACACGAGCCCATATGTACAGTTGCAAGAAAAAGTATGTGAACCCTTTGGATTCTCCACACATAGCGTTGTGTGTTCCTTCCAAACAACTCAACTTTGGTTTCATCTGTCCACAGAATATGTTGCCAGTAGTGCTGTGGAACATCCAGGTGCTCTTTTGCAAACTTCAAACGTGCAGCAATGTTTTTTCTGGACAGCAGTGGCTTCCTCCGTGGTGTCCTCCCATGAACTCCATTCTTGTTCAGTGTTTTACGTATCGTAGATTCGTCAACAGAGATGTTAGCATGTGCCAGAGATTTCTTTAAGTCTCTAGCTGACACTCTAGGATTCTTCTTCACCTCATTGAGCATTCTGCGCTGTGCTCTTGCAGTCATGTTTACAGGACGGCCACTCCTAGGGAGAGTAGCAACAGTGCTGAACTTTCTCCATGTATAGACAATGTGTCTTACCGTGGACTGATGAACATCAAGGCTTTCAGAGATACTTTTGTAACCCTTTCCAGCTTTATGCAAGTCAACAATTCTTAATGGTAGGTCTTCTGAGAGCTCTTTGTGCGAGGCATGGTTCACATCTGGCAATGCTTCTTAAGAATAGCTAATTCAAAACTAGTGTGTATTTTTTATAGGGCAGGGCAGCTTTAACCAACACCTCCAATCTCGTCTCATTGATTGGACTCCAGGTTGGCTGACTCCTGACTCCAATTAGCTCTTGAAGAAGTCTTTAGCCTAGGGGTTCACATACTTTTCCCACCCTGCACTGTGAATGTTTACATCGTGTGTTCAATAAAAACATGAAAACATATAATTGTTTGTGTGGTATTAGTTTAAGCAGACTGTGTTTGTCTATTGTTGTGACTTAGATGAAGATCAGAACACATTTTATGACCAACTTATGCAGAAATCCAGGTCATTCCAAAGGGTTCACATACTTTTTCTTGCAACTGTAGGTGCTGTCTTCCTTGATCTCAGGAAGGCTTTTGACACAGTTGACCACCAAGTGCTCCTTACAAAGCTGACGTATTTCAATTTTTCGGCAGATTCAAGACATTGGTTTAAGTCTTACTTATCGAACAGTAAACAGTGTGTTTTCGTCAACGGGGCCAAAACGCCCTACCTTGTCAACCCTGCTGGGGTTCCACAAGGTTCCATTCTTGGACCATTACTGTTTTCTCTGTACATAAATGACTTGCCTAATGTGTGTCCTGATTTGAATGTACAAATGTATGCCGATGATGCGGTCATCTTTCAACACGGGAGAAATACTGAAATGATCTCATCCTATCTCTCAAATGCTTTGGACACGGTTCAACACTGGCTGTTCAGTAAACGACCAGTCAACATCGAAGAATCCAATGTGTTTTTAAACAGAGCAGTATTAGAACTAGTCTCCCACTTCAAGTATCTTGGAGTCATATTTGGCTGAAACTTGACTTTTAAGAAACATATTAAGAAAGTATCCAATACCGTTAAATTCAATTTGCAAAATGTTAAACAAATTAGACCTTTCTTAACTGCCAATGCTGCAAAGTCACACCTCCACTGTATGATTCTACCCCACATTGAATAATGTTTGACAAACTGGTCGTTTGCTTGTGCCACAAACCTGAAACCCATAGAACAGCTGTTCAAGAGAGCTATCCAGGTGTTTGACAGAAGGTCACATTCATACCACCACTGTGCCATCCTAGAGAAACACCATTTCTTGAGTTTTGACAATGTTCAGTCTTTTAAACGTATGTGTTTTATTTATAAATGTTTACATGGACTCCCCCCCCCCCCCCCCCCCCTCCCTTAAGGGAATTCATCCACAGAAAACACACTGGACGCTGCACTAGGTCAGAAACCAGAGGAGACTGTGAGGTCCACCGTAGACGGACCACTTTTAGTCAAAATGTCCTCTCCGTTAAAGACAGCTCTTTGTGGAACAGCCTCCCAACTGAGATACGGGATTGTCCCACTCTCAATAGTTCCAAAGGTCAACTCAGAGAATGGTTGAGAAACAACCAGACGTGCAATCACCGCTAAATGCACTTTAACACAGGGGTATCTCCTCTTGCACTTTATGTAGCTCTTTTATCTTTTCTTGCACCTTATATGTCGTTGCTGCTACATTGTACTGCCATGTGGTAAATACTTGTGTAGGCTGCTCTTGCTCTCTTGCACTTTTTGCATATCATCTATTTTGTTTTTGCTATGTTTGTAAAATGTAATTTTCTTAAATGTTTTATG